GGGGGGGGGGGGGGGGGGGGGGGTAAATCTGTATTTTTCAATGTGGCTGAGATTATCAAATGTTGGTGTGAGAAACAGTGGAAATGAATTATTTAACAATATGTCAAGTGTGTCCCAATTTGTTTGAATTGAAGTCATCTTGAATGATTTTCTAATATATTGCGTTTTTTGGACGTTGAGATTAATTTTTATTGGATAGTGGTCGGAACCCCAAGTTTCATCGAGTGCACTAATAATTATGATATCTGCTATTCCCGGGCTGCTCATTACCAGGTCTATATTTGACTTTTTTCCTCTATATACGTCTACATGAGCGAGGGTATCGGTATTATGTAGAAATATATCGTTCCTCTCTATACAATCATATAGTCTTAATCCGTCTGGTTTGTTTTGACTACAGTTCCATGCAACATGGTGGGCATTGAAGTCTCCAACCAATAAACAATTGTAATATTCTCTATATATGTCAATTATTTTTTTCCAGTGCTCAAGATCTAAACTACTTTCGGGGTTCCGATAACATACCAGTACATTTATTTTCGGTTTGACATTATTGATTTCAATAGCTGCTAGTTCAACGTTCGCGTGAGGGTTGATAATGTCTTTGTAGGGTTTGATGGATAAATTATTTTTGGCAATTATTATAATACCTCCCTGTCCTGTTTCCCTTGGTAAGATAGATCTATCTACACGGTAGGTACTGAAGCCAGAAAACTTCAGTCTGCCTTTGAATGTTATGTCCGTAATATACGGTTGGAGACATCTAAAGGTGGTAGCAAGGTCTGAGGGCTTCTTGCCATTCTGCTTAGAAAGACTTCTGAGGTCTTTTATTTCAAATATTTTGTCGATGAAGTTGAGAAACTGGTCATAGTCCAGGCAGTAGTCATCTTTTTTTTTTTCATTGCACTGGCTGCTCTAACTGAATGTGCCTTCATGAACTCCTTAGTGAGAAGGCGGGTTTTCCCAGTTTTGGGTCTTTTCGCCTTTCTCACTTGTTCCTTTGGAACCTCAAAATCATCCTCTTCCTCGGCTGCTGAGTTGTCTGGGGCGAGCAAGTTCTCAGCTAATTCGGACGGGGGACGTTTAGAATTTTGGAGGTCTTCTATTTCCATTTTCTCCTGGGATGACTCTACCAAAATTTTTTCAGTAGTCTCCTTGGTGACTCCCTCAGCCTCTAGTTCTGTCATTGATTGTTCCTCTGTATTGGCATCGCCCTCTTCTACAGTCAGATCAGCTGGAAAGATGTATGGTGGGGTTAGAGGTATACTGTCTCTTTGTTGTGACAGGTGGTGGGACGCGGAACGTCGTTGAGGATTATCTCCAGATTTGTCTTGTGTACAGTTTCTAGCAATATGCCCTGTTTTATGACACTTGTAACAGGCTGGACTTTCGACGATGGATGAAATCAGATATTGGTTACCTTGGTGAATAACCTTGAGATTCTCGGAAATTTTGATAACATCTTCTTTTATTTGGACTTGCCTTCTGGAACTCGCCACTGAGTATCCCTCCTTGTCCAAGTTAAACTTGATTGTAGTCACTTTTGTGACTGGATCGATTTTGCTGACCTTGAGGGCTTCTTCAATGGCTGAGTGTGGGATTCTAGGAGAGACATTCGACAAAATTACTTTACGTGTTGTTGCTTTCTCTGGTATAATGCTGAGTCTATTTTCTCCTATGAATAGGCTGGTGTCTGGTGATGTCAGTTTGTCAACCATCTCTGGGGTTCGGACGTACATCGAAATTCGATTTACTACAGGTCTTTCGGCAGCAAGTACGTTGGTACGCCCCACAAATTCTCCAATTGCATAAATATGCTCCTTCATTTTGATTCCTTGGATTGCACTGATAATTATTCCTTGTTCTTCACTTGGAAATTCTTCTAGATTTGGTGAAATACTGGTTGCTTGCGCGAATGTTCGCGTCTGGACTGTCTGTGGGCTGGACGCATTTGCATTACCGTCTTTTATTGAATTGTTCATTTTTTCCATCGTAGAAGGAAAGAATTGCATTGAAACTGGTCAAGAGTCGCCCTGAATGGGCTAAACTCATTGACAGTTATTCCGTCTTGAAGTGAACGATTTGTCTCAATAAGCACTAGTAGCGTTTACGGAGCGTATCCAAAACACGTCTTATCACTACAGAGTTTCGAACGGAACTCAGTTTTTGAGCTATTGAGGAAAAATGAAATTTAAACAAGTTGTTATATCTCAGGAACTATTGGACCGATCATGCTAAAACAGCGCGCCAAAGTTGAGCTCAATAATAGCTACAATGGGCCAAAATATCCGATTTTTATCTACAGATTTCACCGTATTTGTGTTGAATTTTCTAAAAATTAATCACTAAAAACCCAAGTTTTCCGATACATACATACAGACATGACCCTAAAAACATAATTTCTTCACGTTTCATAACATTTTAGACCATTTGCAATCAAAATTAGAAAATCGAAAAATCGGTCAAAAACAAGGCTTCCATTCGGAAGCAAAAAGAGGTAAAATGGATACTTCGATTTCTTCCTCAATTTCTCATGTTTCAACAATATTATACAATTTCTGAAACAGTAGACATGACTGGAATTTTCGAATAGAAAAAAAACTCATTTTTGATTTCCGTTGTGGGGATGGTAAATCAAATTTTTCTTTGCTCATTTATCCTTACCTCCCCGCATTGTTTTATGGTGATTTCGTTTGTGAGTAGAAAAGTAGTCATCTTACAAATTGCGCAAAGGACACAAGGTCAGTTGTATAGAGGGTGCAATTGGTCATTGAAAAACTAAATAATTTCAAAGTTATTTCAATAGTAAATCAGGAAATCCAAAGCTAGTCTATATTTCAAACTTCAATGTAAAATTGGTAAATGTTAAGAAAGAGCGTCCCACCACCGATCCGACGGTTAAGTTTTCAGAAAGATCGATGGTAGGGCGCTCTTTCTTAACATTTACCGTAAAATTTAATAGAGTTGAAGTTTATTTGTTAATATCTCTTCCAACTCTAATTTCTGTTTATAAGAAGATACCAACACGATTCTGTTGGAAAATGCCTGTTCAAATTTGATTGAATTTTGAATAGGATCAACTTTTTCGGGTGGCCATTTACAATTGAAAAATCAGTTTGTTAAATTTATTTTGGATTTTCCTTCTCTACATTTTCCGTATTTCCTGTTTCTGTGAACGGAATATGATCACAAAAATTAAAAATATTAATCTCCCTTCATTTATTTAGAAGAAAAAAAAATTGTAAATTTTCGAAAAAAAAAGAAAAATAGATTTTGTCATTTTATTGATACTGATTGATGATGATCAATCTCTTAGCAATTTCCTTCTTCGGTTTCACTGAAATGAGATCAAAGGGATCAAAGGGATCGAAGCACCCGTTCGCTAGTTTAAAAAACAATTGAATTTTGAAAAAAATATTTATATTGCCCCACCTGCCCTTACATCCATCCATAAATTGAAAGACTCAGTTTCCTTTTTATTTACAGATAAAATACAAAAAATGTCGTTTAAGGCCAGGTGCAATACCTACAACCAGCTGTGAAGCTATGAACAACATGCAAAACAATCAAGAAGACGATTTGGAAGACTTTGAAGTGAATAGGAACTGGGGAAACTCAGACAGGCGTCCGGCCACTTTCGCAGACGAGAAAAAAGAATTCTTCCTGATTCCTCGTGATGACAAAATCATCACATACAATTGCAATGAGAATCAAAGTCTTTTGAAAAGCAATATAGGAGAAGACGATGCAGAAATAGAAGATTACTCAAGTACAGAAGTTGGAGAAAGTCTCCAAGATCAAGTTGTGGACATGATAATGAACAATGAAGAGCAGGACCAAGTTCTGGAGGTGATGCACGAAGATCTTGAAGAGTCAGGTAACACCATATACCTGAAGACGAGTGATGATCCTCAAATAGTCTACATTGAAGACTCAAACTGTAGGACAGACTGTATTGAAGAGGAAATTGAGGAGACGAATACCAAAGATAGAATTGATGGATTTTCACCGCAAAAATTCGAAGGTTCTGGTGAAGAGGGTGAAGAGTCTATAGATATGTGGGAAAGTGTTGATGGGGAGAAGGAATCAGCTCAAGAAGTCGATCAGAAAAATTCGAGAGAAGTCGAAGAAGATGCTGTAATGGACACTGAAGATCCTCTTGACCTCAATCAAAGGCCTGAAGATCTTGAAGATGCAATGCTATTTGAGGATCTGCTCGATGTATACACTGAAGTGCCCCTGCCCAGGGGCTGGTCCTCAGTTGTTATTTCCAAAGGCCGAGGAACCACTGTTATTTACGCCTTTATGACTATGACAAAGAGTGGGGTCCCTTATGCTGAGAAACAAGTCTTCTTGATGAGTGATATGGTAGTCAGATGTTCAGCTGCTGGGAGGGAGATTAATCCAAGGTTGTATAATTTATTGAGAGAGGGCAAACAGTTGAAGGTCCAGTCTCTCATGGATGTTGAGGATATTATTGAGGAGTTTGACCAAAGGATTGTTTGTGAAGGTGAGTTATTAAAACTTTTACAACAGGCTCATTTGTACAAAATATTAATATTTGATGTATGGGTGTTGTCGTCAATTATTGGTATGGTTTGTACCTTCAAAAATTTAATTTTGTTGAGGCTTCTTATATGGCTTTCTTATCATTCGAAAGGCCTCAAAATTTTTTTTCAAATTTTTTTCTAATTTTATTACGCCCGCAAGGTTAATTTTTGAATTTTGTGGGTTTTTAACAAAATGTCGCGTATTTCCGGCGGAAATTTTCCGTTCTTTCGATTGAGCATGGTGCCATTTAGCTCACATCGTCAGAAATGCTTTAAAATCGCCCAAAAAACTAGAACATTGTGTGTGGTACCCCCTTCGCCCCAGCACGATTCAAGATTTTTTTCTTTCCTTACCCAAAGTGACTATTTTTACGAAACATTAAAAAATTAGATTGGGGCTCAGATCTGTTCTATCCAAAAATATTTTTTTTCAAATTTCGTTTTAAAATTTTTTTTCCAATTTCTCATTTTTTTATTTTGTCATTCCAAAATTCATTATTTATGGTTAGATGGTCGGTGAATAATGAATATTGAAATGAAAACATAAAAAAATGAAAAATTGGGAAAATTAAAAAAGAAATTTGAAAAAATAAATTTGGATAGAAAGAATCCGAGTCCTAGTCTAATTGTTTAATGTTTCGTGAAAATAGTCGCTTGGGATAAAGAATTAAAAAAACATCCAATCGTGGTGGGGGAAGGGGGTACCACGCACAATTTTCTACTTTTATTACATGTTCCGTATTTCCTGTTTCTGTGAACGGAATATGATTACAGAGATTAAAAATGTTAATCCTTCTTCATTTTTTAAGAAGAAAAAAACAATTTAAAAAATTTCGAAAAGACAGAAGAACAGATTTTTTCATTTTATGATACTGATTGATAATGATCGATCTCTCTTTGCAATTTCCTTCTTCGGTTCCATTGAAATGAGATCAAAGGGATGTAAAATGTTCGTATTCGTTCACATTTCCAGATCATTGGTACTAATTAATTTAAAGAAAAAGAAAGAAATGAAAAACTTTAGGTGACTATCGAAAATTGTTTGTCGATCTGTATTCTCACGTGATTTATGGGGGATTCCTCTTCATTCAATGTTGTAACTTCTGAATTAAGGAACAAAAATATATACAATAACAATAAGAATGAATAAAATTAAATTAATCTAATTGTGAGGACGGAAATAGAAAGAAAATAATCGTTCAAAAATGAACGTTGTGGCCGTAATAAAATTAAAAAAATATATCTTTAGGCCTTTTAAATGATAAGAAAGTCATGTGAGAAGCCTCAACAAAATTAAATTTTTGAAAGTACAAAACCATACCAATAATTGGCGAAGACATCCGTATATTTGTTGCGCTTTTTTGCAGGTTCTTCAGAGAAAATCAACACAGAAGATATTGATAACACAGTTGGCTTCCGGGACGGTTTCAAATGGCGTCATATGAGCTGTTCTATATTGATTAATAACGGAACATCCCGTTGCTCAAAGTGTAGTGCATTAAACGTTTCAGCAAACCGAAGAAAGCTGAAGAAACCTCCACAGACAGCTGAATCAGCAGAGTTGCTCAAAAAAGATCGAACGATATTCGTACTACAAAAATTGTTGGCCAAAATGTCTAAAAAGAACCAACGAATCGAGACAGTCAAAGATAATCTTGAAGGCAAACTGAAGCAGAGATGTGCACATCCGCAGAAAAATTTAATAAGTTGTTTGGAATCCCTGAACATCCCCAAGATTCAGAAAATAATGATGACAGAGTGTCTCAAGTCATCATCACAAGAAAAGACAAGTAATTTCTCTGAGACATGGACATTCTTATCACTTTTACTCTATATTGAGTCGCCAAGAACGTACAAATATCTCCTTATTAATAAATTCATGAATTTACCTCCGATTAAACTTATGAGACGCTATCTCCATCAGATTAAAACAGACACACAGTTTTATAAATTGTTTCAACGTTCCGTCGAGCCTTTCAATGTCAGTGAGATGGCTGATGAGACTGAACCAACGTGAAATTCAATGATAGAGAAAGCAATAACGAATTTCAATTAAAAAGACAAATTTGAAACGATTGATGTCACGAAGAGGTACAATTCTTATTTATAAATTCTTTTTATATCTGTAAGTTGATGATAATATTCAAAATAGGAAGAAATAATGGAACATTCTTCATGATTCGAATTGTTTATCAAAATTTATTCCCGTTTTACCTTTTTTCCCTATTGCGCGACAAGAATTTTCACACTTGCCAAAAGCGTCATTCACCAATTGGTTAGGTAAAATATCATACCAAACTTGTTTCTCTTCAATTTGTCACCATATGCTCGATAGTATGATGAAAGAAAATATTATTCCAACCTGTGACTTGAAATCTAAATTCATTTAATCCTAAAATATATACATCATCCTTATCTTGAAAAAAATTCTTTAAAATTTAAACATCATTTCCATTTTCTGCCTTTTCCATATTTCTTCAGTATTGGTTTGCCTTTTTGTCCTTGTTGTGTCCATTCCTTTTGCAGCTCTTGGAGCATAGAAGGAGTCAACAGCCCCTGAGAGAGTAATCTTTCCGTCAGTTTTCCTCTGCCAAAACCCTCTCCAGATTCTCTATAATATTTGTTCTTTTGTGTGTTGAGTGCGAAGTTGTCTTCATCTGAGAGTGATGCGGCTCCACTACTCACGCCAGTCTCCGAGTTTCTGAGTAATTTCGTTAACTGAACGATTCCCTCCTGAATAATGGCATCCAGTTCCTTCTGAACGTCTCTGACGATATTGGTATCAGGGAACAGATCCATAAATCGATAACTGAGCCATAGATACAGATCGAGCACGTCAAAAACGGCTTCCAAGTGAACTAAATCGATGATTCTTTGTGGTGGTTGGAAAGGCCAGCCTATTTGTTGGCACAACCAATTAAAGGTAATTGGCTCATTTTTACTGTACTGTCTCGCAAATTTGAGGAACATTGTGCAGGGGAAAGGAACCTTGTTGTTGATTGGTGCGCAGCAGAAAACGTATCTGGCCCTCAAAGGCAGAGGAACATGTTGAATCATGTCTGCTAAAAATTTGAAGTCATCGACCTTACACATGAAGTACAAAGAGTCATCAACTGTGCATAAGGACACGAAGATGTCCATCAAATTCGATAGAGCAGCCTTCGGTAGGTGATAAGCATACAGTTCGATTTGCTCAGCTGTTGGGTGAAGACCTGCTTGTGTTATGGGCTCCGGAGATTGACTGAGTATTGACTTGAGCAAGGGGAGGTCTTCTGGCTTGAATGTAGTGACGAAACCCTTATCCCATTGCGTTCCGTAACGACCTGCCCTACCTGCTATTTGTAACGCCGAGGAAACTGAAATTTTGTCCATCTCCTTCTCACCTTTCTCGTTTACTGTCGGCTTTATCATTGAGTAGAAAATCACTCTCCTTATGTGCCTAAATAAAAGATAAGAGAACATTTCATGAAGGGAAAATGTACTTGTAGAAATAATTTCACCTATTAACTGAATTTTTTTCACCGTGAATATTAATAGATAATAGATTTACACTTCCAGAAAACAAATGAAATTTCATGCATAATTTAGTAGTCATTTACAGGAGAGCAATACTCAAATTTATTTAGGGGGAAAAAGTCATGAAATGTCAAATTTCAATCAAAACATGAACATTCAGTAGAGAATTACGCTGAGTTTTCAATCACTTGAGATTTCAAAATGTATAAGGTATTCCATGTCAAATGAGTCAACGGCTGACCCTCATCCTCTTAGAAATTGATCTCGATTTTTTCTACGATTGGGGCATTAGAAAAACTATCTTTCAATCTTTTTCAGATTTTTTCAAGGGAAGCCTACTATGAGTTTTAAAAGTCGTGGACTATTAGAGTGAGATTTCTCATGCATTGAAGATAGATTATATATATATATCCAAAACAAATAATTAGTGCAAAAAAATTAATTATTTATTGTTCGTTTACCCGCAGACAGAGGTTTTTTTTTTAATTTTTGGTAAAATGTGCACAATAACGATTACGAATTAATTTTTTGAAATTTTACTCGCCCACAGCTAATTTCGGTTTGTTTAACAGCCCATTTCGGAGATATGATTTTTTTTTGTTTTTTCGTTTTTTTTTTCAATAACTCCTGTTCTATTCATCCTATTTTGATTTATGACACGTCAAAATTTTCGATTTTCTACCATCTATAAGAATATTTTGAGTAATTTTTTTTCATCCCCTACGTGCATATAATACCGAATTTTCAAAAAAAAAGTTGAAAAACATGAATTTTCCAAATTATGTCCCATTTTATTCGTCTCGTCTTTTTTCAGTAACTCCTATGCATATTACATACATATTTTGAGCCATCATACAAGTTGGTTTTGGTCCTAGATCTATTTTATTTTCAATTTTTTCTTCTCAAAATTCCACGAATTTGGTTGAAATATCCTAAAATGGCATTGATTGACTTTGATTATAAACAGTATGACATGAATTTAAATGTATACTTATGTGTTACATATTTTTTTTAATACATAATCAAAATCGTTTTGGGGTGTTTTGACCTAATTCGTGAAATTTCCAGAAGAAAAAATTAGAAATAAAATAGATCCAGGACGAATTCCAACTTGTAGGACAGCTTACAATACCTGTTTTGATTATACGAGTTACTGAGAAAAGGAGGAGAAAAATAAAAGGTGATATACATAATTTAAAAAATTCAAGTTTTTCACTTTTTTTTTGAAAATTTGGTATAATGAGCACCTATGGATTGAAAAAAAAATTAGCCAAAATCTTCTTATAGATGGTAGAAAATGGAAAATTTTGAGCCGTCATAAATTAAAATCGGCTGAATAGAACCCGGGTTATTGAAAAAAAAACGAAAAAACAAAGAAAAAATCATATCTCCGAAATGGGCTGTCGAAAAAATCTGAACAAAATTGAGAGATAGTTTTTCTAGCCCCACAACCGTAGAAAAAATCGAGATCAATTTCCAAAAGGGGGAGGGTCAGCCGTTGACTCATTTGACATGGGATACGTCATATTCACCTGAATGTTACGGATTTTTATTAATTTATATGGAATTATTGAATTGAAATTACAGTTCCCATGGATTTTTTCATCAAATTGACCTGTCACTTGATGAAAAATCCGAAGAAGAGTAACGGAAATTTTGACGAAAATTTTTTAACTGTGTACACAGATTTGCATTTATTACTTCTGAATGGTGAGTGAAGAGGAAGAAGAGTTCAGTGATTGAGACGCTTCTTTTAGAATACACTTACAGATTCAAACCCATTCCTATAGCGTCAGTTGCAACCATAACTTTACAGGGATGGTCAGGATCATTGAACTTTGCAGCTTGACCTAACTTTGTATTCGGGGGAAGCCCACCGTAAATAACAGCTACTTCAATGCCCAAAGCCTCAAGTTCTCTGGATACTGTGTAAATATCGTTTTTACTAAAGCAGACTATACAATCCCCAGGTTGAATATTCCTCAAACTTCTTACTGCATCGTTTTCGATTTCTAGTTCCGTTAGACGTTTATATCGTCTGATTTCTACATCTTCTCCAGTTGTCATGCACAGAGCTTGAACCTGTAAAATTAAGAATAATCCCATAGAAAATTTGACAATGGCTAAGTCCCTCAACAAATAGCTTTTTCACAACTGCTGTATCACAATCTAAAGTTTGAATTAGATTGAATTTCAATATCATTAAGGGGCGACTACTATGAGTTTTAAAAGTCGTGGGCTATTGGAATGAGATTTCTCATACATTGAAGATCGATCATATATGTATAGAAGCAGCGCAACAGAAGCCATTTGACAGATTACATATAACTGCTATTCTCCACGTAGTTTTTTTCTCCTATGTTCATTGCTACCAATTTTATTGGTAGTAGGCTTCTGAATGGATCCCAATGTATGTTTTCAAAAAATAAAACCGTATATTCATGTTATAAGGCGTTCTCAGTTATCCTGGTGTGAAAATGAACGATGAAATATAGATGCGTTAATTTGTTTTCTCAAGCATTTTGGGTGAATTGTTCCATCTCAAGAACTATCAAATATATCGAACTAAAATTTGATATAGGAATGTCCCTCGACAATCTGAAAAAAAATCCCCTCAAAGGAATGAGGAAGAATGGAAGGGTCAAAGCTTGGCTTCTAAGCAGCAGCCAAAGTTTCAAAAGGTTTCCCTGACTTTTACCCATATCATAGTGCGCAAAAGTGAATTAAGACCAAAAAAATACAAAAACGACGATATCTTGAAAATTTTTGATGGGATGGTACCCATATTTTGTTGGAATTAGGTAGATGATATAAAAACGCACATTTTGAAGAAAAAAAATTGAAATCGGACCAATAGTTTTTGAGATAGTGAGCAAAAGAGTTTCACATACAAATCTTCGAAACTACTGGTCCAGTTCCTATCTCGGTAATTTTTCAAGTTATCATGCGAAAAAGCAATTTCAGTGAAAAAATGAAAAAACGAGAATAAAACTACATTGCTCAGGGTGTAATGGTCTTTTTTCAATCCCATTAAATAGATACCATCATGACGAGTATTTTGAAAAAAAATTGAATCGGTCGAATGGTTCAGGAGATATTGGCAAAAAACGATTTTCGAAGAATCGCTACATCTCAGGAATCGCTCAATCGATCGAGCTGAAATTCAGCACAAATTTGCGTCTCAGTGGTACCAATTAGCAGCCAGAATTTCAGCATCTTTGCCTCAATAATTCTCGAGTTATGGGGACAGTTCTGGACATACGAACACACATGTGCTGCATATACCTACATATACCTACACACACAGACATTTTTTAAAAACATCATTTCTTCAAGTTTCATAACATTTCTAGGCATTTCCATCCAAAATTTAGAAATCGAAAAAAATCACGATTACAAAAAGCTTCCATTCGGAATCAAAAAATGAATAATTAGTCGAAAAAAAATTGTTTATTGTTCGTTTACCCCGCAGACATTTAAAATGTTAAAAATAGTGCAGGGCCTCCAGTTTTTAAGCTACAGAGGTTTTTTTTCGTAATTTTTGAGAAAATGTTTGCAGTAACAATTACGAATTAGATTTTAGAAAGTCAACTCCTACAAAGCTAATTTCATTATTTTTTTAATAAAAAATTGCACCATTGATGTAAAATAGCCCGAAAACTGTTTCTGAAAGGATCGAGAATAAATTTTAAATATTTTAAGAGTAATTTTTCTGCCTATTCTACATGAATGGCGCAAATTTTGATATTAAACAAAATCAAAGTAGCTGTGTAGGAGGTGAATTTCAACAAACTAATTTGTAATTGTTGTTGCACACATTTTTTCAAAATTTTTGAAAAAAACCTCTGCAGCTCAAAAATTGGAGGCCCTGGACTATTTGGAACATATTAAGCATCTGCGGGGCAAACGAACAAAAAACAATTAATTTTTTTGCACTAATTATTTCTTTTTAGATATATATATAATTGATCTTTAATGCATGAGAAATCTCACTCCAATAGCCCGTGACTTTTAAAACTCATACTAGTCTCCCCGTAAGTAATATTCTTTCTTGAAACAATCGATTGGGATTTCCTTTACCAAGGGGATAGCACCAGCTTCTCCACACAGGTGAACTTCATTAGCGGGGATGCCAAGAAGTGCCCTGGTCCAAGCCCAGCCTCTTCCATAATCCTTAAGAAGCTGGATCTCATCGATAACGGCAACTTCACAGGGTAAATTTATGCGCGCCATTTCTACAGTACAGGAGATGTGATCAGCAGGATGTCCTTCGTCCCTCGCAAATTGTCTTTCTTCGCCCGTCACAAGATCACAGCATGTCCCCAAATCATTAGTCCTTCTGAATACCTCAGTGGCTAAAAGCTTTAAGGGTCCACAGTAGAGTCCGCTTTTTGCTGTTTTAAATCGTTCCAGAGCGTGATAAGTTTTTCCACTATTGGTGGGTCCAGCATGAAAAATGATCTTTCTGGTTATTGACCGCGCTAGGGGATACCAGTTGGCCGGGGTTCGGAGGTCAGATATCTTCTTCAGATCGTCCATACACTCCAGGTGAGGGAAAATTTCTTTTGCGTGGCGTATAAAGTAAGGGAATATGTCTGTCACGTGGCCAGCACCCTGAAGAATATCTGAGATGACCACGTGCAGGTCCACGGGAAGAGTATCAGCATCCAGACAGTACTTGCGAAAGCTGTTGAAGGCCTGCTGCTGAAGATCGTGATCTAGGCCATAGTCTTTAGCTAAAACTAAGATTTCTTTCCGTTGGAAGAAACTCGCGAGAATTCTCTGGAGATCGGATTTTTTCAGGGAGCCTCCCGTTATCTCGGCACCGACATTTATGTCGTCGGAGGTAGGCTGCACTGGAATTGGATGGAACACCGAGTTTGGATCCCTGGTGTCACTCTTCTTACCTCGGCGTGAATGCACAGTCACTGCTGGTAATGATCTGAATGCAAAAGAATAAACGTACAACAGGTAATTCATCGACGAAACCGAAAGAACGAGGCTGATAATATTATTATACTGAAAGGAGGAAACTCTGGTTTAAGGACAAAAAATCAACCAGAGAAATTATTTCATGGGTGAATAGGGCCAAAGCCGATCACTATACTTTAGCAAAATCACTGGATCGAATTGGTATAATCACATTGTCACTATGTAAATGCGGTTATGAAGAAGAAAACATCGATCATGTTCTGTGGCAATGCCCGCTGTACGATGACTCCAGACAAATCATGTTTCAAAAACTTATGAACCAAAAATTTTTTTTCACCATATCATGCACGAGAATTTCTAATTAGACTAGATAAAAACTCTCTTGGTACAATTGACGAGTTTCTTCTCACATGGTTCATAAAAATTTGAAGTGTATTGTTAATAGTTCTAAGCTACCACAACATCTGTAAATAGTTCACATGGTCTCTCATGTTTATAACGAGAAATATGTAAGCAAATTGAACTGTAGTTGTTCAGAAATGCTGAAATAAAAAAAACGAGGCTGATACTGAATATTAGAGGATGGTGGGGCAATATGCACACCTGATTGAAATAATGAGTTGAATTGGATCAAATCAACTGTTCGGAGTTCATTTAAAGTTTATAAAAACATATACATTGTCATAAGGCAGCGTCGTAGGAGTTGTAACGTAAAGCAAAAACGGGGTAAAATGGACACTTCGATTTCTTCCTCAGTTTCTTATGTTTCAACAATATTATTCAATTTCTAAAACACTAGTCATGACTGCGATTTTCAAATTGAAAAAAAAACTCATTTTTTATTTCCGTTGTGGAGAGTGGTAAACCAAATTTTTCTTTGCTCATTTATCCTCCCCTCCCCCATTGTTTCACGGTGATTTCATTTGTGTCTTGAAAATAGTCATCTTACAAATTTCGCAAATGGACAAAAGGTCAGTTGTGTACGGTGTGCAATTGTTTATTGAAAAAACAAATAACTTCAAAGTTATTTCAATAGTAAATCAGGAAATCCAAAGCTACTCTATATTTCAAACTTCAATGTAAAATTTAACAGAATTGAAGTTTATTTGTTAATATCTCTTCCAGCAACTCTAATTTCTCTCTATAAAAAGATACCCACACGATTCTGTTGAAAAATTCCTGTTGAAAATTCTTTCAACTTTTGAATAGGATCAACTTGTTCGGGTGTCCGTTTTCCCCCCACTCTTGAATAATTTTTCGGTTGTGGACTTTGCCAATCTGTGTCCAGATCGCCCAATGAAACAATTTTCAAAAATTTGAATTTTAAAAGAAATGTTTTTTCGCAAATTTTTTGAGTGTCCGTTTTACCCCAGGTCCATCTATTCATCTTGCCCCACCCTCCTCTATGTGAACATTCGTAGAAAAATATCGTCATTATTTTCGGGAATTTTTATACTTTAATTGCGCACTATTTTGGGTTTTTGGAGCAATGAATACCTTGATAGAATCTGCGGTTTAATTAAGACACTGCCTCGTGCTAGAAGTTCTGGTATCAATCGTTTTGTTGGGAACATTTTCGATTACCATGAACTACTTTAGTTATTTTATGAAATTGTAACACTTGTCCATTATTTTTAATCAATCTCATTCCATTTTTTCAAGTACTAATCTTTCGATGAAATGATGAGTACATAACTAAGGTTATGGTTCAAGATCCCAACGTGCTTGCGTGGCTTGCGTACAATATTAGGAGTGGGCGATTTTTGTCGATTAATCGAAAACATCGATTTTTCATGTCCAAACATCGATGTTCTTCGTTCGATGTTTTCAACGGCTGATTAATCGATTTTCGATTCTTTTTTCCAAACATCGATATTCCTAACCAAGCTAACAAAATTTTTAATTTTCTTGTCGAATATATTTTTTAAATTTAATCAAAAACCCTGTTTCTAGATTCAAAATTTCACTCTCCAGTACTTATCATTGGAACGTAAGTTCCTCGGGTTGTATATTTTAAAAATATATACATTTTTTTTCAATAAAAACGAGAAGAAAAAAAAATTTTTAACAATTTGTTTTCCTGTGAAGTGAAAAAAACCTCGATTTTTCAAATAATCGATGTTTTTTCCTGAAGAATCGATTCACAACATCGATGTCTTTGGAAAACATGAATTCTTCAATAATCGATGTTTTTTAAAACATCGCCCATCCCTAGTACCGTGTAGAGGGCTCATACAAACAGCGGAGCTCAATTTCTAAAAAATGCAATGGTTTATTAGTCAATGAATGGACTTGATATAAAATGACTCTGTTCATCTTTATTTACTTTTCTTTTAATGAAGAATCGTAGAAAAATGTAGACATGCATCGAAAATTCAATTGATTTTTTAAATTTATTGACAATTTTTTTATTTATTGAAAATAAACTAATACAAACCCAATACAAAAATTCTGCAGCCTGCACATGCCAAGTTTTTCCTATAAAAATCTTCAACAAAAATATTGTGTCGGCGAAATCAATAGAATTTAATTTTTCTATACAAGTTCTTCTGTTGATATTGTTTCTATACAAAATGTCCTCACGAACGAAAAAATTTAATAGAAAAACCTAACGAATTCGTTAGAAATTTCGATCTGCTCTCTATTCAACTCTATTCTACTTATTCTTCTCAGATATTTTCTATAGAATTTCTTCGGCTCAAAATTCTCAAGTTTTCTTCATTCTACTTTTCTTTTCTTTTCATCAAGAAAATTAAACAAAAAAACTTGGAAAATTTGAGCCGAGGAAATTCTATAGAAAATATCTTTTATTCTATTGAGATGAAAATATAGAATTTTTCGATATTTTCTATATTCTTTTTCTATTGAATATTTTCTATTGATCATTTCAATAGAATCGGCCAAAAACTAATAGAAAGTTCAATAGAAATTCAATAGAATTTTCTGACGTATTCGGTAGGTTTTTCTGTTACATTTTTTCATCCGTGCTCGGGTTAAATTTTCCAAGCTTTTTTGCTTGAATTCTTTCAAGAGAAAAAAAAACTCGGTGAAGGAACCTCAAAAAAATTCTGCTGTGAAATTTCGCTAGAAAATATCGCAATGGAACATGTTGTTTTAAGGGGGAACGCAATGAAATTTGAGAGTCTCTGGGTCTATTACAGAGACGATTGTAAAAGTTTATAATATGTATTGTAAGTGAAAAAAAAAGTGTAAAAAATCGAACTTTTAGCTTTTCGGCAGCTTCTAAAAGGTCAAAACGGGTCAAAATCTACAAACGTTTGGACCGGTTGAGCTGGTATTTGTGTTACACATATGCGCCAAAAAAACAAAGCTGGAGTTTAAAAATATTGATTTCTTATCTGTTCTCCTCAGTGGTATGCTTTAATTTGTTAGAATATGAACCAAATACAAGTATATACATACTATCTTCATGAAGTACAAATTTTTTCCGATATTTATTTAATACTTTTCTTGTATTTACAGAGAACCCTGATGAATCAAACCCAGAGTTAACCCAAAGTTAATTCTGGGTTCATGGAAATTTCCCAGAGTTTCTCTCTTTTTTCACTGGGTTTTTTCCATAAACCCCGAGTTGACCCAGAGTTAACTCTGGGTCTGATCTATCAGGGAAATTCGAATATTTTACTAATCCGTGTTACGCCTACGACACTCCTGTGTACAGGAAAGGGTCCCCGTGCCAACTTGATTGATTTTGTTTTTGTTCGCAAAAGTGTCACTTCAATTGTTATTAACAATTTTAATTGTTTAAAACGCTGTATCTCTTAAACTATTATAGATAAGCGGAAATTTCAAAATTCTAAAATGTTTCTACTATTGTTTAGAGTAATTTTGCTTTTTAAGAAATTTTGATGAATCAATTAATTACAAAGATACACGCGGTAGGAAAGTAACGCGGGCAAGAGCGCGCGCGGTAAAGCTGCCGACGAGTGGACTGCCCATGGGCGCGTTTCGCAATCGAGATAGTTGCAGTAACACTACTGCAACCCTATCCAATTTTGCTTGACTGTAGCTACGGTAGTTGATTCCCACTCCATGTCGATACCTATAGAGATAACTTTACTCGCTTGTTTGAACTCTCACTCTGTACTGTATTTTGCTTTCGATTTTCTTCTTAGTCTCGATTTTTTCCTATATTTATTTTTCGTGTGAGATGTGTAATTGCTGGAACATACAATAATGCTTTAAATAAACAGAATTGAGTTTTAAAAATCCGATTTTTCTGTTTGGGATTTGGATTATCGGAATATCATATTCCCATCAAACCTTTAAAAACAACAAACTTCCCAGGAAGGAGTGGTGGACGTTCATTTGGTATTGGATAACACCTCCAACGTGAAGTATTCTATCACCACCAGGTGCACGCCCCACGCGCTCTAGGCCGCACAACGGCTCCATCACGTATTCCTTCAACTTTTCAATTTATCGAAATTTTGTAAACAACAAAAGTAATTCTAAACAATTGCAGACACATTTTAGAATTCGGAAATTTTCGCGTATCTACAATAGTTTAAGAGATACAGCTTGGAGTGTCGTCATTCTAACATAATTTGTTCAAATCTTCCCCAATTCACCTCCTTATGTTGTCCATTGCACTCTGCTTGGCCAAAATTCGATTGGGAAAAATAATCCGACAAATACTCCTCGAGATTCAAAATTAATCGGGTATTTCCCTCAAGCTCCCCTGCAAAGAAACCATCGTGCCAAGTTTTGCAGAAAAATCCCTCGCGCAAGCGCTCGGGATGTTTTAACCTGCCAAACTTGACACCTTCATTTGTTTGCAATGAAGCTATCGGGAAATACCCGATAATTTTGAAGCTCTTAGGGTATTACTACTGATTATTTTTGGTAATCGGATCTGGCCTTCCCTGGGCCAATCAGAGTTCAGTATTCAATAATATGAAGTACTTCCCAATTAAAATTACAGCGGGAATTTTCCTCATCCAAATGTCAGCTAGTAGAATTGCACTATTCGACTGGTATTTCATTTAGTCAACACGGTGTTCAGCTGATAACTTTTGATAATTCAACTGGTAATTTTTCATGTTGACTATATTTGTGGAAAACAAAAGATTCCGTGGTCGAGTGAACCCCTGGTTGGAACTGTCAGATGGATTTTGTCTCATAGTGCAATTCTTTTGGCCGACATTTGGATGGGGAAATTCCCGCAAGTAATACCACGAGAGCTTCAAAATTATCGAGCAATTCCCGATAGGTTCGTTGCAAACAAACTTGACGACTTCGTTTGTGTGCAGGGAACCTTGAGGGAATTACTCGATTAATTTTGAAGCTCGAGTAGTATTCGGGAGGGAATTTTCCCATCCAAATGTCGGCCAAAAGAATTGCACTATAAGACAAAATCCATCTGACAGTTTCAACCAGGAGTTCACTCGACCATGGAATCTTTTGTTTTCCACAAATATAGTCAACATGAAAAATTACCAGTTGAATTATCAAAAATTATCAGCTGAATACCGTGTCGACTATATGAAATAACAGTCGAATAGTGCAATTCTATTGGCTGACATTTGGATGAGGAAAATTCCCAAGAATAATCCGTCGAATACCACTCGACCTACAAAATTAATCGAACATTTCCCTCATGTTTTCCTGCGTATTAACGATCGGGATAAATTTTGCACAAAAATCCCTCGCGCTGCGCGCTCGGTATTTTAATCTGCAAAACTTCTCCCTCTCGTTGCTACGCAACAAAATAATCCGGAAATATCCGATAATTTTGGAGATCTCGTGGTACTACTACTGAATATTTTTTACAAAAAAAAATTGGCGAAAAAACTAATGTATCAGGTTTTTCTAGTGAATTTTTTCGTACATAACTTCTAGATATAGAATTTCATGTGATATATTAATGAAAAATAACAATTGACAGGATTATATCTATTATTTATTTATTACTTGCAATGTACATTCTACGTCCCAAGAGAAATATGTCGAGTCACATATATTACAATAAGAATCTATTGAATGATTGAATTCGTTATATTTGATATGAATCGTTTGTTCATTCAGTGTCTATTCTTCTGGAGCCAGTCCTAAGGATTACAAACTCGAAATCACTACAAATTCAGAGACACCTCTTTTATTGAAGTTTTTACTGAGTTGATTAAATTAAAATTTAATAATCGGTAAAAACCCCTCCACAATCTTCCAATTGCATAATAAATTGAGTCGATTCGATTCTCAGCAAAACCACGTCTTGGCTGGCTCCTCGTGTAGTCAGAAGTCAACCCTCAATGTCCCTCTGGAAAGAGGAAGAACGATGTTAAACTATTTGAAATTTGGTTCATCATTACGGTTTCGTAATTTCAAGACAATTACAAATTGCTTGGTCCTGTATAAGGTGGGGGATTGGGTCGCACGTATGGATTTCCACGTTCCGCAGATGTCCTGAAGAAGCATTTCCCAAATTAAACGATAATTACTCACAGAAGAATAAAAATAATTTTAATTTTAATAGTGGTTATTTTCTGAGAAAGTTCACCTTGGGCTCCTCAATAATGAGTTACTGGGGCTTGAGGGTTGTGCTGAAAGTGATCTCAAGGTTTCTCTTTCCGATGCTGCATACTGCACCATTTGAACTCCATTATTTCCCACACCCTCCATTGGCGTTGGTTCTCTCTTATCTCTTTAAAAGTAAATGTAATCATCAGTTTTTGCTTCCGAATAGGAGCATTTCAATCGTTGAAATTTAAGTTATGGATTTTTCATGTTATATCGATCTATTATGATCTAAAAAGTCCGAAAATGCAATTTCTAGACCGTGTCCGTATGTATGTATGTGCGTACGTATGTAAACACATTTTTCTTCGATTGTTCCCTAATGCATCGATGGAGTGGAATATTTTTTTTCCTCAAAATGGTGAGCTTTCTGATGGTTTCTTCAAATGTGATGTTTCAAATTCATTCAGTTACGTATAACTAACATGTTTCTGTCAACATTTTATCGAAGGGCTGCGGGGAGAGGTAAAATTGTAAAAAAGCCAATTGGTTGTATAGAAGAACGGGATAATAAGAATAATGATGATGATAACATTCAACAAAGTTGAAAATCTGACGAAATTAGGTAAAAAGAAATCTTATTCAATTTAATAAAATGAAATAAATAGTGAATTATACAAGGTAGAAGAAAATGATGTGCAAAATTCAGAAGCATATCGTTAATTTGTTAGTAAAAATAACTATACTATGTGTAATACAAGATCAATTTCCCACTTGTTTAAATTACACTGTAGTAAAGTCTCAGAAAAATTTGAAAAAATTTGACATCTCATTTTGAAGTGCCTAGAATCAATGAAACTATTCGTCAAAAATGTCATAAGTAGCTACATTTTCAAATTTTTATTCCGAAATTCTGGGCCGTGTACCGTGTATAAGGCGAATTTTCAGAAAAACATGGCAACTTTGAGCTTGAATATATAATTAACAGTAACAGTGAACATACACAATCTCACAGGAGTTCTCCAAGTATACGACCCAGATCATGTTTGATTTTTCTCAGATCCTTCCTAGATCTTTCAAATTTATCATTATGTCAATTTATGCTGGTGCGACGCAACCAACGGCGTTCGTAACTTTTGCGCGACCAACGGAGTGTTAATGAATAAGAATGCGTTTAAATCGAAAGTCAAGTTCAATCATTTTGAAGCCGTCTTTTGTTCTCAAATGAAAGTTTGATTGAAAATTTGCCAAAAAATGAAGATATTACCTCCAAGCATTATTTTTATGCTTCTTTAAATGTTTTGTATATACCTAAAGATAGTCGAAAATATATGAATTTCCTGGATAATCAGATCAAATGAATATTGTCAATAATATCACTGAAAAATCTTTCAACATCGCTTTTTGCTCGTCTCATATGGATTCCTGTTGGGTTCCATGGGCTTCCGATGAATTCTACTATACTTAATATATGGAAGAATAAGTTATTTCATTTAAAACACAAAAAAACATACCATACAAGAAAAAATTTCATGCTTGCTAATCAACGGAAGTGGAGTTAAAAGGAACAAGATATTCCCATTCAATCAATCTTATCTGAAGTGAGTTGAAAAATGAAAAGAATTAGTGATTACTCATAAAGAACACCAAAAATAATGTAATAAATTACCTCATGGAATTATCACTGAGATCCCTATTTCGTTTAAAAATATTAAAGAGCTCATTAAAATATTTATTTGATTCTGGATCTACCCTACAAAATAATTATAGAATTTATGAAAAATTCAAACAATTAAAACAGAATCGCAATAAAACAAACTAGTAAGATGATTTTTGTTCATTCAAATAATGATATTTATTTCTTCCTTACGCTTTCTCGTGATGAAGACAGAATGTTGTGCTCAACAGAAGAGCCAAGATGAATAGTAAAAGTGTGGGAATGAAGACAGTAGTAACGATTTCTTTTAGATAGCTTCTAGTTGGGATTTCTGATTTTTTTGGTCTTGCCCATTGCCATTCTGCATGTTCCGGTGGTTGTCTTCCAATAACATTCATACTGGAGCCACGTCGAGCACTTTCTTGATGTTGACTTTGATTTTCCGTGATCTAATTTTTTTCCCAGTATTCCATGAAATTTGCAAAGCCAAACACATGAATTAATTTTTCTGTCTTTTGCAAAAAAAATATTGAAGAAACTGTGGCTTACAAGTTTAAATGAGCACCAATCCAAGTGAAAATGAGCTTTCCTGAATGAAACTTCCTTGCTAGTTCGTTTGTAGTCTTTGGGGCATGGAAACTTTTTTTTCAACGGTTTTACTTCCTCCTCGAGCTTCATAAGAACTTCGGAGAAAGGTGCAGAGCTTCCCAGTTTTAAAACAACCCTAAAAATTTCCAATGCCATGAAATAAATGGATGAACAAACAAATTCGAACAGGATAATCATTCTAAAAATGAAGGATCTTACAAAGGCACATACGAAAAAAAATAATAGAAGATAATTTAGCATCAGGGATGGCCATCAGTCTTCCGATTCTTCGATATTTCAAGGATTTCCGACTTATATTGATCAAGGCGTAAATATACTAATCTGAATTTAAAAATAGTAAAATAATTGATAATGTAAATTTCCAATTGATGATGAATTAAATATTTAAAAATATGGAACTAAAAATTACATAATAATAATCCGATAAAATTTTTAGTTTCCAATTTTTAGTTTCCAATTCTCAATTTCTGTTATTGATTCTATTCATTCTATCAAAAGACATGGAAAGTGATCGAATTGAGGGGTATTCTTTAATTATGTGAAAACTAATTGATTTTAAAACTTTCCAGAGATATTGAAAAATTAATTTTTTTAGTTCTTCCCACCCCTTTTTTTGCATTTATTGAATTTCTTTTCGCTGAATTATTAATATCCCTCTAATACTTGAAGAAAGAAATTGATTTGAAATTCTCGCCCACATAAGAGATAAAAACAAATACATTTCCTAGCCGATTATCCGTTTCTGATTCTTTTTTCATTTCCTTGTCATAAGAATAATTGGAAATCCGACCATAGGAATGAGGGGTACTGATATCCTTTTACCATATCAAGGGAAAAATAGATTTTTTAAATTTTCAGGAATACATGGAGAGATATTTCTCTTACCCGAATAAGATTTCGAATGAATTTTGTGTTTTTTTTTATAACAAAGAAAAACATTTTTTGTTGATCTTTTAAATAATTGCTGTTCATTCCATGGTGTAACTTGTGAGTTAATGAAAAAATATATACATAATAAGGATGAGAATAAGGATAAAATTAAATTAATCTAATTGTGAAGACGGAAATGCAAATAAAATAAAATAAAATGGTATAAAGTAATCTAGTGAGGGGCGCGAAGCGCCCCTTCGCTTGTTTTCTATTAAGTAGATAATACTAAATTTCCTATAAGGGCTTTCCGCTTATCCTTATCAATATTAACTAATTGACTACTTAATAATTTAACAATAATCATAAGTTATGGTTATGGCTATCCCTGGTTAGCACATTCGCTAGGAAATTCTATTGGGTTTCTATTGGAAATTTCGCAGCATAAATTTCCTAAATTTTTTTCACTCCATTTTTTATTTCTTTCTTATTAAAAAATTGAACAGAAAAAAATTGAAAATTGAAATGAGAGCAGTTTCTACAGAAACAATCTTATCAGAATGCGCTGTATCGGAAGATCAAATTCTATTGATTATTTTTACACAATATTTTCGATTCAATTCTTATATAAAAAAAAGTGTGGAAAAGATGAGGAGTTTTTTAATACGATTGCCGAAGAACTAATAGAAGTTTCAACAGAAGAATAATAGAAATTCAATTGAATTTTCTAGGGAATGCACGAAAATGATTTTTCAATGAAATTTTATCGTACATGGAGAGACTTCATGAGGACTTATAATTTTCAAATTATTCGAAATATACAACACGTAATTCTTAGTTATACGACTTGACACTAGGGGTCGAGTGGCTCCGAAATTTGTTTACACTTGTTCTCTCCCTAGCTGGGACATAGTGCATCACTGATACCCAAAAAAAGGACTAACAACAACAACTTGTTCTCTCCCAACTGTATTATCATTTTGGAGCAGTTGATTGTTTTGATACACACAAATGGGAAAACATAATAACAAACAGTGAAACGTTCTTTGACGAAATGGAGCCCTGCGTGTCACAACGGAGTGATTCGAGAACCTTGCTCCAAGATCTAATACCAGTGCTCCAAAAATTTGACAAAACCAATCAAAGCATCGATGATATACACGTAACCAAGAATCAGGTAAACAAAGAAAAATTCAGACTTCGGAAGAATTTACAGAAATTTGGGCGAATTGGTTCCAGTAAACACGTATAGGGGAGGGTGGGGCAATATGGACACCTGTGGTAAAACGGACACTCAAAAAATTTGCGAAAAAATATTTCTTTCAAAAATCAAAATTTTGAAAATTGTTTCATTGGGTATTCTGGATGCCTGGATAAATCCGTATAGGATGGACTAAAGTGGACGCTCAAAAAACTTTCAATAATCGAATTTTTTAAAATTGCTTCTTGGCAAAGTCCACAATCGAAAAATTATTCAAGAGTGGGGAAAGAATTTGTTGAAAATAATTTTCAACTGGTATTTTTCAACAGAATCATGTGGGTATCTTTTTATCGAGAGAAATTAGAGTTGGAAGAGAGATTAACAAATAAACTTAAACTCTATTAAATTTTACATTGAAGTTTGAAATATAGAGTAGCTTTGGATTGCCTGTTTTACTATTGAAATAACTTTGAATTTATTTATTTTTTCAATGAGCAATTGCACGCCCTATACAACTGACCTTTTGTCCATTGCGAAATTTGTAAAATGGCTATTTTTCGACTCAATTTTTTTCAATTTGAAAATCGCTGTCACGACTAGTGTTTCAGACATTGAATAATATTGTTGAAACCTAAGGAATTGAGAAAGAAATCGAAGTATCCATTTCACCTCGTTTTTGCATTACCTTACAATTCCTACGACGCTGCCTTATGACAATGTGTTTGTTTTTATAACATTTAAATGAAGTCGGAACAGTAGATTTGATCCAATTCAACTCATTATTCAAATCAGGTGTCCATATTGTGCCACTATCCACCAATTCTAAACGAAACAATTCAAATATAAAACAAACAAACCGATAAAATTTTCATAATTGTATGTAATTCATATGATTCATTTGTTCTACTGATTGTACAAAAAATGAAGAGATGAATCGAAAAATGACTTATTGTATCTAATTTTTTTTATCGGTTTTCCCTTAGGGGATTTTTGTATCTCAGGGAAATAATAAATTATTTCTATCTATCTGTCTACCTATTCCCTATGTTAATCATCATTGTCTCTTAAAATTTTAGTTCACAATCGGCCGAGCACGAGAGAACGATGAGGTTATTTGTAGCATGGTGATCTCCCGGCACCATTGTATGCTAGAATGCGACGGAAATGGTGATTGGGTCATAAAAAACTTCAGCCTAAACGGAACTGTTTTGAATGGTCAGTTTTTGGGTCCGAATGTGTCCAGAAGTATTAGTCTCGGGGACGTAGTGCAATTCTCTGTTGTAGGAGATTATAAATATTTTTTCACCTTAAGATTCAAAGACGAGGTTCCTGTGAAGAGACGACGAACTGATGAAACTTCTCAAAATGAAAATCTCTCGAGAATTCACACATTTGCGGATTATCAAGAATCGAAAAGAAAAGAAATGGAACAGGATCTCCAATCGAAGAGAAAGGAACAAAACGACTTGAAAATGCTGCTAGAAGATTGTTTGCAGAGACAAGAAACTGAAAATGATTTTATCATGACCGAGAGGATAAACAGTTTGAAGAGCGCTTTAGAATCAGCCGATCAAATGGTGAAAATTTTGGAGGGAACGTACAATTGTTATCTGTCGAGAATGGATGAAGAGCGAAAAGAATTCGATGCCAAACTTGTGAAAGAAGGGACAAAGCTGCAAAGGGAATTGAATACAAGTGATAAGCAAGTGGAGAAAATAATTGGACAGAAGATGGAAAAGTGGACGAGAGAACACCAGACTAAGTGGTCTGACATTATGAAGGGAATGATGAAAGAGGAAAAGAGTAAGCAGGAGAAATTGGAGAATGAGAATTCGAGTCTCGCGGCCAAATTGAGAAAAGCCGAGGAGGCATTGAAAATGACTGAGGACGCCCTCAGGGAGAAATCTGCTCTGGCTAAACATCTCCAACAGCAACGTAAATATTCAATCATTTACAGTTGATTATCTCTTGTTCCTCCATATCCTTTCAGGAGTTTTCAATCAGTATTTTAAAAAAACATTTTCTGTGTTGAAGTTATCTTCCACGCTCTAAATTACTGTAGCACTGAATATACTTGCATTAATAATCCCTAGAACCCCCAAATATCTTTTTGTATATCTTGCAGAGGCTCGAGAAGTGATAGACTTAGAGAAGGAGTCAGGAAGTTATTCGTCTGATGAAATTCCATCCACCTCTAAAAATAATCTTCGTGACAAGGTAGAAAATATCTTAGACGAACAATTATCCTGCAGCATATGCTCTGAAATCTTCGTCAATCCTACATCCTTAAACTGCAGTCACACATTCTGTCAGTACTGCATATCTTCATGGAATAAAAAAACCAAAAAAGCCAATTGTCCAATATGTCGCGTAAGGATAAAATCAATGAATCAGTCACGGGTCTTTGATTGTCTCATTGAGAAAATGGTAAGCGAATTATCCTCAGAGTTGAAAAAACGGAGAGAACAACTCATTAAAGACCGTAGAGGCAGTTGAGGATGATTTATTTTTAAATAACGTTAGGAGTCTTTATATAAGGGTATAAATTATATAAACCCGTACGCTCATACGTGTTTTGTCGTAAACCGATAAGAAATGACGTAAATGAAAGGAAGTGTGATTCATGCGACTTAGGTCATAGATACAGTCGTAGCGCTTCTGTTTATAAATTTGTATTTAATTACGCAGAAATTAGGTAATGATTAATGAGACCGTATCATTTTTTTCATTCGATACTAGTTAGAATAAATTGTAGAGAATTGATGAATATTTTCCTAGAAAACTGAATGTATACTCTATTATGATTTCATAAATAATTATGAAAAGTAATTTTGTGAAACAATTTGAATAATTTAACAAATCATGAAATTTATAGCATGGAAAGGATGTCATTCGTGTTTCGGACACAACCCAATTTCTGATTAAAAATACTACATGTGAAATATTTGAAAATAAATTTTATAGCTTCTGGACAGATGAATGGAGAAACAAACTTTCTTATAATAGAGGGTGTCCAGCCGTCGAGAAAATCTGGAAAACGGAGAATTGTCAGGGAATTTGATTGGTTTGGAAATGTCAGGGAATTACGACAACTCTGGAATTTTTTAATTTGAAGCTTGTTTTCTTCAAGTACCTAAATTTTTGGGAATTCTTTTGTTGACAAAAAACATTTTCCTGAAATTTGATCTCAAACTTACTTAAAAAAGTGGGATGTCAACATCTTCCCGTGGGATGAGACTGGGAACCCACTGTTTTTGCGCTTTTTCTGTGGAAAATTCTAAATTCAGCATTCTACTTTTCAAAGGAATTCTCACATATCAAGACGGTGGAAATATTTGAAAAATACTCATTTCCAGCAATATAAAAACTGCAAAAACACTGAGAATTCCAACCTGCATAGTCGCTAATTACCTCGATGTAGATGCGACTAAATAAATAAAGAGAAATTAAAAAAAATCTAACCTGGTCCGCTAGAAAGATGTTATTGTTATGCATCCTAATTTTCTAGATAAATTTTTCGCTATACATTTTTTTTTTGAAAAGTTGACAAAGTTGACAGAGTGATCACCTCTTAAGGGGAGACCTCGCTAAAATTGAAAAAATTTCCTTAGCCGTACTTCTTTTATTGCGCAATTTCCATCTGATGTAGATTTTTGCATTCCGGAATTTTCGTTACACTCTAGAAAATGAAATTAAGTACCCATTTTACGTCATAAATTATGGATAATAGCCCATGAAAAAAAAATTTCCTTCAATACTCTCCCTTTGTTTGTTCTTACATCATGTCTGAAAAATCGAGTAGAGCAGACAGACTAAATCTAAAAGATCCATTTATTCTCATTCCATTCTATGCAATGTAACACGAATACTCAATTTCATTGGTTGAAGTCTGACGAACATTGACAAAAAAAATCAGAATTGGATAAAAATTATGATCCAAGAAAAATTTTGAATCATAATAATTTATTTATTCCACTGTATGGCTTTACGCCTTTTACAGAGAAAATTTTGAAGATGAAAATGGGAAATGGCGACGAAAATTCACTTGATGGGTTTTTTTGTCAATCAAAGATAATTTTATTTTACCGACGTTTGCCTTTCAATTTCGCTCGGTAAAGGAGTTAATGTGCATGAATCCATCTATTGCTCATTGATTATCAACGTCGAGTAATCCTCGTTTATCAACTGTTTTAACCCTCTAAGGTGAATTTCAATATCCCCACTCTATGGCCTTAAAAACGGAATGTCAATGTCCCCACTAAAGCGTCCTACTACGCTTTTCACCTTAGGATTTATAAATTTAACATTCTTTCATGAAAAAATGTTTTCTGTGGTCGGGGGATTTCATCAATTTGACCGGGAAAAGTCAGGGAATTTTGTTGAAACTTTCAGGTGAACACCCTGTAATATAATTTGGCTAACTTTGATAAATACTTTTAAAATCATTTTAGCATTTAGGATTAACCAATAAAGTAAAAAAAAGTAAGACGCTATTTGTGCAAAGCATTCATGTTTTATTATTCATGTCAGTTGTAAATTTTCATCAACAAAATAAAATAACTAAATTAGAAGAAAATATATTCTATAAACATATAAAGTCTTACGAGTATTAATTAAAGCAATTACTAATTAAATTATGTAGTTTCAAATGGGAATAAATAATTCTTACCCTTCTGGTTCGTTGGGATCCAGTGGCAATCGGGCACCTTCTTCGACTGCCGATGCCAAAAATGTTATGCAAAGATCTCTTGCCTCCACCCACAATTTCCTTCTGGGGTAAAATTGAGTAAATTTTATTTCATTATGGTTTTTCGTGACACAATATTTCTCATCGACTCATTCTCCTCATAGTTTCGAACGAAAACTTCACTCATCACCTGAAAAGATCAAGAAGTCCTTCCATCGTTGTCGTATTAAATGTATCCTCAATTCTTAGATTATCAATTTTCAAGTAAACCTCGTACTTCGTGGAATTTTCATTTTGTTGAACATTCATTTCTAAAACTTTGTAATTGGTATTGTAGGTTTTCTTGCTCAATCCGACAATTTGAAGCTGAAAAAGAAAGTATTTTATTCTACTCAATAAGTTGTGATTTTAATAATTTGGAGATCAATAGATGAAAAATGTAATTTGAAGAGTGAGATTGAATCCTCCAGTGCTTAAGTGAGATTTCGCAATAGAGCAGTTCCATGTCAAAATCGAAAACCAAAAAATCTGATGACGGATATTAACAATATCCGTTCCGATATCTCCATGCCAATTTTTTCCCAAAAACTTTGTCTTTAGACGAATATTTTGAGAAAAAATCAGCAAGGAGATACCCAACACCCACTTTTTTTATTGAAGGAAAATTAAGTTTCATTCTCCTCAATTTCGGGCAGTATGCTTATTACAGGCCTGGGTGGATTATCTTTCGAACGTAATCTTGGTTGTTGTTTAAATTTGATAATCTGAAATGATCTCCAATTACTGTTCAGTCTTATATATCCCTGGAGTCTCCAAAAATTAGGACGGTAGAATCAAAAAACGTTAAAAAAATGCAGAACATTTTCAAAGAGCGTTTTTTAATAATATTGGGAAATAAACCCAATGGAAAGGAAATTGCAAATTAATAATTTGGTGTATTTAATGGTTGTTAAGGCGTTATTTGTCACAGTAGTCAATGGCTGTCAGATCGTTAGTTACCATGATAAATTCTCTTTGAAAATGTTCATTTTTTTTTCTACTTTTTTTGATTGTACAGTCATAATCATTAGGAACTCCTGCGTGATCTTAAATTCAATGGAAATAGTGATATATTTTACAAATTTTTCAAATTTCACTGGTTTTTCGTTGCGAGGGTTAACTTGCCAACGCGGCCATAGCCCGAGGGCCTTCAGCCAGGGAATGTTGAATGTGGAGTGGGTTTTTTCACTTGGAAAATCTGTGGAATATTCGGTTTGAAAATTGTGTTAAATTTTCAGATGAATATTATGTGGAAATTTGTGATGAAAAATTGGTGTGGAATTTTGGCCCGGTCGGGGCTCGAACCTGGGAGCTTGAGGTTGTGAACCTCATGCTGCTACCAAGTGCGCCACACAGCCGGGTTTATTTTACATTATGAAGATGGAAAAACAATCAAGATAACCACCTGAATGATAATCCACCTGGGCCTCAAACCATCAAAATGCAGTTAACCATTGTAATAACTTTGACATAAAAATTTTCATAATCTTACTGATGATTATTGGTAAAAAATGATTTTTGTTAAAAAGAAAAAAATTCAAATCTTAAAAAAATGAGATTTTTGAGATAATTGTCATTGAAAAAAATACTTATTGCCGCATAAAGCCATAAAATGGAATACCACGAGTGACTTCCCACTTTAAACCGTTTTTTCATATTTATTGTGCGCGTGCCACACGCGAATTTGACAGTTATAAGCTCGAATTAAATATTCATAGAAATTCAAAAAAATCAAAACCCTTAATTTTCAATTTTTTTTTCAACATGTTCGTCTAAAAATTAACTTTTTAGAAAAAAATTGCGAGTAGATCCTGACCACCGACTTTTTTAACCTTGCGGTTTGCCATGGAACTGTTCAATAATTAAAATATCAAGAAGTTTTATATAATTACTTGTCAAATTTGCGATATCTTTTTCATTATTTTGTCTATTGTATCGAATTACAATTTTTCTTAGAATGCAAATGGTAAGCAGTTTGCTGAATTAACGCATTCGATTCACGATTCACTAGTCATAGAAAAAACGAAATTGTACAAATTATTTTACCGTGAAGCTTGCTTGATTTTTTGGAGCAACTCCATATAGAAATCCTTGCCGATGTTTATCACTGTATGTGTAGTGAATCCAGGGTGGTAAATCCGGAGAATTGAGTAAAGAAGCTTGATACGAAAATTCCAGTCCCTGGGAGGAATCATCTGATCCAAAGAAAGTCATGAATTAAGTTTCTTTCACAGAAGTCCATGGAAAATCTTTTGATCAATTACTTAACAGTATCTTTACCTTTGACTCCAAACAGCTCAGGTCCCACAGGGATGACAAACACCCTGGAAGTCAGGATGTTTTCTCCCAGGGCTGCTTTAAGCCTCAAGAAAATGCCAACAATTAACCACATTAACATTTTCATAACTCGTCAAAACTTACAGAATAGCTCAGAACTTTGGAAAAAATAAATAAATATCTCAGCACATGCTCCAGACTCTTCAGCCCCACGGAGCACAAATTTCCCGAGCGCTTGCGCCAGTTTTCCCAGTGCCGGCAAACTGCCAAGATCCCAAGGAACCTTAAAACCACCATGAATAATCCCGAAATCTTCTCTAAGTCTAAGCCCTGTAAAATTATCCACCACCTCAAGCCCACAAATCATGTCTTTTTTGTTATCTAATTTTTGAGGTTATGTTAGACCTCTCCCTGTTGTCTCTAATTATCCATAGTCAGTCGAAATATAATGACAACAACACGAGATATAAGAAGCAAAAAAGACAAAAAAAATGTCGAACTACGTCACTGGCTATTGACGTACGAGGAATGGTAGGCGTGGCTTACTCAACCATCATCCAGTTTCACACCGTCTCAACATCAACATTTTTCCCAATTGTAAAATAAAAGGGAAAAAATAAAATAGAGTACGTATCAAATACGGCCAAATTCGACTGACACAAGCACGTACGTTTCTGCCCATTCGAAAAGAAGAAGCAGTCAAGGCGACGACTCCGTCCCTTCCCTACCGTAAATCACCAGCGAATCCCAACGATTCATTTTTTTTTCTTCGTGTATACATAACATTATTATTATGGGTTTGTTGTATTAAAATTAATAATGTGGGTAGTCAGTCGACGTTCAGATGAGTGCGAGAAAGAACGTCGGCAGGTGGCAAGTGGCCCCCGGGGGTTGATCCGTCGGTGAAAGGAATTTACTTTTTCCTCGAGGTTTGACATTTTTAATGACATTTTTTTAGTAAAAGGATTTTTTCTGATGCGGAAACACTTTAGTTCGTAGAATAATTCTGGTGGTCAGTTGGGATTTAAGCAGCACCCTTTTCCAGTGCAGATTTTGTGTTTGTGAGGGAGGGTGACATGGTGCCAGTGTTTTTCAAGGGTTTGGAGCCTGGAGTCTGAGTTTGCGGGTCGTGACAATTATCAGAATTTTTTTTTCCATTGAAAAGCTGACAAAAGGGTGGAAACATGTCGGGGATACCTGTGCTCCTCATCACTGCCAATGTTGGCAGCATCTTCGAGGAGGTATGAATTATATCAGTTTAATGCAGGAATTTTAAATTGTTCTTTAAGGTTTCAAGTGCGTGACCCAATTTTCTTAGTCATGTAATTGAGAAAAAAATATGTACTTCAACTCTGAGAGTTGATTTTATTTCAAACCATTGGGTGGAAAGAATTGCACGACAAGTTGTATTAAAAAATATTGACAATTATTTTCCAGATACTTGAACCCTTGAAAGGAATTTTTTCCAATATTTCGATGAATATATTTAGCTAATTTAATGAATTTATTGTTTTTTAGCCTGGAACTATGCTAAAAATCTGGACCGAAGAATTTTTGTCTGTAAGTAGAATATTATGGCAAAATGTTCTTTTTTTTTTTCAATTTCACCATCGGAAAAAAATATCGAAAATACTTTTGTTTAGACTGTTTCGAGACTGGATCCAAAGTTTATAGCACTGCACTGCCAAGAAGTAGGTGGAAAAAATTATGAACAAAGCATGAGGCACGTCGAAGACTTTGTTAGGTAAGAAAATATGTATAGCAAAAGAAAAGTGAAGGGTTTCTTAATCTAAATCATTTCAAGTAAAGCTGGATGTGAATTCTAGCTTCATGAGACTGTACAATTATTCGGAATTTATGACTTGACTCACGTTTTTTTTTGCGTTTATCAGATGACTATAATGATAAAGAATAAATAAAGTACGGGAGTTTGAACGCACGAGTCAACGTAAACGTAAAAATAGAAATAATGAGATAACCGTCGATTGTCGTTTTTTTTACACACGAATGAGCGCCCTCAAAGGGTTGTTTTTATCTCCAATTAAATTAGCGGAGCAGACGTGGAAGGATAACATTTTTAAAGCGTGATTTAATCGTTTAGAGATAAAAATCAATAGTGTGATAGAGCAATGGGTCAATCTTTTATTAATTAGCCACTCAGACAAAAATCAATAATTTATATGGATTCATTGCAGGCTACTTATGTCTTCTGAGGAACTACGGCTCTTTGATAAAGTCAGGGTATATCTGGATGAAGATTTCTCATCAGCCGAGCATTTCACAGCACTTGGCAATTTTTACTTCGTACATGAGTCCTTGAAAGACGTTTTATTATGGGATTTCAAAGGTGCCCATCTCATCAAAACACTTTCTTTAATCAACGTACTTTTGTCCTCCCTTTATTCACGTAATTACCTAATGACTTGTTCCTTTGGTCCATTACTCAAATTATGACGTCAAACTTCTTCAGTTCAATGTCCGATTTTCAATTTAATTAGAAAATAATCTATTCAATTAATTTAATTCCTACAGCAAGTTTTCTTCTATGCTGAATTACGTAATGAATGTAGAAAATATCAGACTTTAATTCCAATTTCTAATGGGGAATATCTGCTGTGGTTGGTTAGAATGTCAATAATTTTTGTAGATTGCACATTTATCTCAGTGAATGGAAAAGAGGTTCATTCTGGAAATATCGAGGCAGTAACGACCAAAGAAAAAGCAAAATTCCCGCAGGATTTCTTTCCGGAATGCAAATGGTCAAGAAAAGGATTTTTACGTACACGATGGAGTGTTAGCGGAACAGTATTTGATCTCATTAACATACACCTGTTTCACGATGCTAGTAATTTTATTGCAATGGAAACTGTAAGTCCACGAAACCCAAACAATTATGTAGGTCAAGATTTTCTTGAATTTTACTCACTCGAAAAAATATTCTGGGTGTTTAGTTTCCGTCAGTATATAGCAAAACAAGAAGGAGGGCACTTGAACACACCCTCGAACGATTTCACAATGATCAGTATGAAAATGCACCGTATTTTCTATTCGGTGATTTTAATTTTCGAACAGATACCGCTGGTGTCATAAAGGTAATGTAAAAAATCTTTGAAAATGTTTTCTATCAATTTGTTGTTTTTTCTTTTTTTGGAGAAAAATACACAGAGACGATTCTTCTTTTCATGATTAATTTCTACGCTCGTGATTAACAAAAAATTAACGAGATGAATTTATGTTTGAAGTTAAAAAACTATCATTTCTCTTAATTTACCTCGTTCTTTCGCTTTTGTGAAAAATTTTTTCATTACTCTTTCATTATTTCACAATAGAGTTTCAGACGAAAGACACTGTCATTCTTTCAGAACAAACTGACATTGCATCTGCCATAGAGAAATAAGTAGAACATTTTCTTTTTCTCTCGGATCTTCAATTATTACTCCCTGTCTCATGTTTCAATGTGCATCATTTACCATTATCCTTGAGTTGTGACTTATACTCTTTCTAACAACAAGAAAAAGCCTCTCTAACAATACTTCACTGTACTTCCACAGAAACTTACCGAAGATACTCACGAAAGCAAGCTGTCGAGTAAGGGTAATATTTCTAGATTACAGTTTCGCAACAATGAAGAGAATCTGATCCTAACACTAGGCAAGAAAGAGTTTTCCCATTACGAGCATCGACACGTATTCGCGGAGAACGGTGGACGATGGGTAATTTTACTTTTCTATTTTTATTTTCCCTACAAGTTTACCTTTTCTCCAACTTTATGATCAAATAATCACTGATGAAATTACCCTAGTTACGTGAGTATGATCGGGAACTGGAGGACTTCGAGGGTAGGCTCTTTGAATTTCCGATCGAGTTTGTGCCGAGTTATCCATTTGAAGAGGATATCAAGCAGGGGACTAATTATATGCAGACAAGAGTACCTGCTTGGTGCGACAGAATACTGTTAAGCCCCACTGCTAAAACACTAGTCGAAAATGTGCGTAAATAAACACAAAGTTTGTCTAATAGGGGAGAGTGGGGTGAGATGAAACAGTCGAAAAATGACTGACGTAATTCAAGCAAACAATTTTTTTTTGTTAAATATTTTTTTTTATCAACTTTTGTTTATTAATTTTTTTTTATTCTTGAGGGTACCAATGAGAATAATCATTTTCCATTCAGTAGAATGACACATTATTGACAAGATTTGACGGGAGAAGATTTTGTCAATGGATTAATTGAAAACAAAACGAAACAGTAAAATCCAAAATCCAGGGGAAGGCTCAGGGGGAGACCCAGAGGAGGAAATATGATGTTGAATTTTAATCGAATGACAAAAGTAAAGTGTAATCGACCTAATCTAATCAATTGAATTATAAGACGAATAGAAAATTATTGTTCTCATCAGTACTCCCAAAAATAAAAAAAATTGACAAAAAAAAATTTTTTGCTTGAATTGCGTCAAACAATCATTTTTTGACTGTTTCATTTTGCCCCACTCTCCTCTATGATTATTCGAGATTAATCAATTTCACAGAAAATATATTTTTTTTATTTGGATTAATTACATATATTGTGATGTACAATGCTTGAAACAGATATCATCCTCTGATGCTGTGGAATATGGTATCATCGGAGCGACCACTTGCATGGGCGATCATAAGGTAAAAAGTCAGTTTATCCAGTAGCAGCAAATGCTAAATAAGAAAATGGACAATAAATAAATAAATAAATAAATAATAATAATTACTATTATTATTATCAGTTCTTTACCTTCTATTTATAATTCTTTCATATACGAAGAATGATATTTATCGAAATAATTTTGAATACTGGGTTACATAGCTACACCGTATTTCTTTATCATTTTTATCTCAATTAAAAACAAAATGTTCTTTTAATGATTATTGTGCAGCCTGTTTTTCTGGAGTTTCGAATGAATCTCTAAACACTCAAAGGTACTAAGAAACTTGTCTGTCTGTTTCTCTCCTCTTAATTTTTTTTTGATTTACCATATTTTTGTTTGATAAATCCCCGTTTTAATTTTATCCCTTTGAAACATTAAAAAAACATTATAATGTTAATTTGGGGCTCGCTTACCTTTTTGATTGAGTATCTTCATTAACAATGGACTTCATAGCTTCTGACTTTTTAACAATTTCCTTTTACCACCGTGTTGTGCACATCACCATCATCGACATCATCATCATGACTGATATTTTTGAAGAATATTGTGTACTCAGAGTTATTCCCCAACAGCCTAGAACATTTGTTTAGAATATTCATAAATAGATTGAGCTCCTATTGATGACCCCTTGAGAGTTTTCTGTAATCAAGTAAATTGAGGAAAAATGTATCTGTCTGTTATTTCTCAAGAGTTGCAGAGAGAATGTAGAAGATTATATATATATATATATATATACCATATATATATTTAGATTTTTCTTCAATGTTCATTTCACTTAATTACAGAAATTGATCCATGAAACATGAACCAGTATTTTCCTCCATGTACGATATTTTTCCCTTTTTTCAGCCAGTCTACCTACGGGCAATATTGTCCACGGATGCAGGTATGATTAATTGCTGTAGTGGAAAATTGCCTCACATGTGTTTTAAAGTGCCCGATAATTATCACGAATTATTGTCAATGTTGCCTGCCTGTCGAGCTAGTTATTCACGTTCACGTGCAAATGACCGTGTGTCATCAACACTGAGGCTTTTGCACGCTGTACCAATTGAGCATGATCCGTACACTCCAGACAGCATGGATAGTCCTAGCCCCAGTGCATTTGCAGTGCCAACAGACAGTGATATTCAAGAGTTGAACCCATCGACTTCTGAATTATTAAAACGAGGACATGAAGCCATCAAACGTTTGGATTCAGCAGTATCACCAGCCTTGCTCAAGTCCCGACTGGAACTTGTTGTTCAAAGTAAAGAAAAAGCTGAGAGAGAACGAAGAAGAAAAGATTTAAGTGAGTGTAAACTCCGCTCTTGGCCAGAGACTGATGACAATCACTCACAGGGGATACGCGAGCACAGGTGTAACAGCGACGTCTCTTGGCAACGTAACTGGGCTCGCGGCAAAGTACGAAGACATTCCTCAGACACTAGTTCGGATGATAATCCTACTTGCCGAATTATAATCCCCCGAATTGCCATAATAAATGCCAGCAACTTTCAGTCTAACGAATCGTCAGTCCATTCTCCGCAGGAGGAATGTCTCGATATCAATTATCATCGACAATCAGACAGTAAAGATGGTACCAGTGGTGATGGGTCGAGTTTGGAGCTTGATCTGGACGAAGAGCAATCAGATTTCCATAAAAGGGGAGGGAAAATTTCTGGTGCACAGGACAGTGGTTTAGACACTCTCGACGTTGATGATGGATTCTCCAGAGGTGGATCCACCGGCTTCAGCTCCAACGAGACTACTTCGACGTTGCCTTTAGACTCGGAGAAGGACGAAAGTCAAAATACAGAGGAGAAGAAAGTGCCGAGTTCGGATATGCAGGAAATGAAGATTGACGTTCTAGCGTCGAGCAGTGACTCTACACGCATTCATGAGGCCTCTGCTGAGGAGATTAGCAGTGGGAGTGATACAATAAGACTCAAGGCTTACAGGGCTACCCAAAGATACCGTAGTGACATTGTTACGGAAAAGAGAAAATGCTGCAAGTGCTGTTGCATCATTACCTAGCAAATGTTCAAAATTAAAATATTTATTGATATTTATTATTTATCGTTCAAGTTATTACCGCAGAGTTATTCAGTTATTTTTACGGGGAGAATGAACGATTTAAAAGATGGATTAGGATTGTATAGGGATAATTACCTTGCTAATCCATATTGTGTTTATAGGGTAAAGATTTATGCAATGTTGTAGGAAAAGAAAGGGGTGAATATCGAGAGAATGTGCAAGAGGGGTAACTATTTTTATAACAAAGTGGTGAACTGTAATAAGTTCGAGGTAAAATTCTGCAAATTGTGCATTCATCTCGATAGCAAGTAGTTTTATAAGAAAATGTGAGAAGATCCTTTTTCTTTTTAAGAAAATGGGAAAAATCAATTAGTTTATTGCGAATTGCTATTTCACTACTGATTTTATTGGATAGTCAGGGCAATTCGTTTATTTCTCCAAACTCTTAAAATAGAATGAAAAAATAATTCATGCAGCGGAAAAGACTTTCCAGTGTATTTAACTGCACTTTTCCTGTTTTTTTTTTTCAATATTCTACCTCTTGAAATTCTCGCAATCTACACCGGGATACGTATTTTCTTATTTTCTAAATTTGAAACTTGTGTATGCCAAACTGCCAAAGTTAGAAGCTTTTCTAAAAGTTTGTAATATTGCTTAAGTGTTGAATTACTCTAGTGTATTTTGTTAGACTGTTTGTAGTATTTTTTGATGGACAGGGAATACCGGTGCGTGTGCCATTTTAATATTGAGATTCGACATGGAATTTCTGCCTAGTTGATATACGTATATTTATTGAGACTCTTGGGTCGATTTTTGTTATAGCTCTGGTACTTAAATTACTAAAGAGAAATATATCATTCATCATTGTTGGCATGTTATTTAGAGATGTCTGAGCAATAATCAATGCATCGATCTTTTTCCATTTTCATTTATCTGACAACTATGTTCGTATTAATTTTCCTTTGAGTTGTTCTAATGGAAAGAATATTTTTTATTTTTCTTTGATTGACAGTTTTCTCACGTGCATTGTTGTTGTTGACTAATATTGTTATCATCATTTTAAAACCAATGTCTTCCGGAATTGAATCTAATTTTTTTTATTTTTATCGCTGTAGTCATTTATGAAAGTTCGTTCTTGGCCTGATTATTGTCTCACTCAAGTGAAACGATTTGTGCAAGGTCTGGATATCGTGTTCGTTATTTAATTTAATCGAAAATATTTATGCTTATGCACGTTTTAAGGTTTTTCTGTCACGTTTAATGTCACGTTTTTGATGGATAAGAAGTTTATGGTAGTGAGGATAGATCAAAGTAAGTGGTTCAAGTGTCTTTATACGTTTTGATTATTTTCTATGATGGATAAAAAGAGGTTCTATATTTATCATGCACGATATTTACGTCATACGAACTTTTTATCAATTCTTTTATCATTATTCATTCTCCGCAACTTATGTGTAAAACTAATAATTCATTATTATACTCGTGAACTCGACAATTATTTGAGACACTTGTTTTGATCGTCAATCTGATTATTTATGAGGATGATAAAAAAGTTTATGTATAGTGAAAGAGAAAAAAATGTTGATAATTCCTTACGATAGAACTGTTGGAGTCTAATTGCGAGTACGAGAGCAATGGAGAGACATTGGTGAACTCGAGGGAAACAACAAATGGCAGCAATGGTGCGGCAACAATTACACGTTACATCCACATTAAGCACGCCGATTCGTCCGTTAAAATATTTCGCGAAACAACCGTCTGATGTTCAACCATAATAATGAATTTAATTAATGAATGTATTAGAAAATAACTCAAATCGTCGAGGAAATGACAAACAACCATAAACGTAATTGTAAGCGGCGTCAAAATAAACGTAAGAAAGTTGACGAAAATTATATAGGAGATTTTTCAGCTGATTTTTGATTCTCTTGGAAATTGATGAAAAAAATCGTTAACCGTCATTGATGTAAGTAAACAGCCAGCTCTTGTCTGTTATATGAATATAATACATGTTCTTCGGGATGTATTTTATCGCAATTATTTTCGAAACGTTATTGATGAAAGTTTTTTTACTTGTGATTTATTCTGAGGGAGAAATGAAACTTTATATCCAAAGAAATTCTTTGTTGTTGTCTAACTAAAAGTTCAATAAGATGTGAAGATTTTTAGAAAATTTCTGATTTGTTAGAAATAAGAAAGAAGAGTTGATTGAGTATTGAATCTCGATAGGGTTCAATTTAGCAGGTGAAAAAACTTTGAGTGAGTGATTATTTAATATAATTCAGGACAAATTTTCGAAATAGATGAAATAGATGAAAAAAGCTTATTTATTGTGAACGCATTTCTTCCAATTCAGTGCAGTACTTATCCCTTGTGTACAGATAGTTAATGTTGCAAGGAAGATGAGGAAACAAGTACTTCGAACTTTCGGGTTTTATTATTTATCGATAAACCGAAAAAGAAGAAAAAGTAAAAATCATTATCAAGTCATTCCTCTAGGTGAATTTAAATTATTAAGATAATTTAGGGTTTTGAATATTAGTTGAAGAAACGATGCTTCAACGAAGTCTGTCTGCCAGCACGAATTTTTATTTACGAAAATGTTATTAAGAGATCATGTAATCTATTGTCATCCCGTTAGTTGAAAAAAAATGGAGAAATCCTCAACGCCAAAAATCATGAATGTTGTACTTTTATAAATATATATGAGTGTACTTATATTTTGTAAGGGCAGTACCATGTATACTTGGGCGCACCATTTTTCAATGTTAAGAATTCACGAAAACGTTAAAATACCAAAACTGTTTTGTTTTTGCTCGTTGTTGAAAATAAATAGAGCAGAGTATTAAATCATTGGACGTAATTAGGTAGTGCATTGTGCGCTTTATGTACCGTTCAGATACGTAGTCAATAAAATCGTGAATGTCTGACTCCAATTTTTTCGATTGAGAAGTCACATTTAAAAATAAAGATCAGTGGCAATGTAAATGTGTTGAATTATTAATGATGGCTTTTTACCTTCTCTACTCATCTTCTCTTATTATGCAAGGGTCTTTTTGTTTATTTGCAGAGCCATGGGAATTTTTGGGTTTCCATCTTGTGCGTTTGTTTGAATTTTTCTGTAATGGCTTTTTCGGAGGCTTATTACATTTTGATGAACCTTTTGAGCATTTTGAAGCGAATGTCAGAACGTGAGAGGGTTTCCAGGATTTCATGAAGCATTTTCCAAGATGTGAGATGATCTAAGAGGCAGAAAAACAGTGAAAATTGTTTGTAGTGCTTCTTACGCTTAAGTTCTGCATCGAAAAGATATTAACCGAAACGTTCATCGACATTTTTGTAAATAATGCTGCTTCAAGTTTTGATTTTTCTCCAGAATTTTCCAAATTTTGTGGTTGATTCAACTTGCAATTTTGTGTGCACAGAAAGATGCCAAATTGAAGAACTAAAATTTTCGCTTCAATTGTTTTATAAAAAAAAAGAATTACTGGATACTTTTATTTATTTATACAAAGAAAAATCGACTTTATTTCCATTCGAATATTCAAAAATAACCCTTTGGCCATCGACTAACTGCGTTTTACTAAATAAATCAGACAATGTGGTATCCATTTTCTCCGCCAGAACATCTCCAGTTGCATGGTGAAACATTTTGAGCTTATCAGAATGTGCCAAATTATTTGAGTTGCGAATTTTGAGAATTTCTGCGATTGAATCGATGGCTTTGCCTAATGTCCATTGGACATTCACGAAGACGGCCGCTGACTCCTTTTTGCAGGCAGTCAGTGGAAAATAGACCTGGAAATACCTTCGATCAACAGAGGGTATGGTTTGAGAACCGATTGCTTTTCCTTTCAGTCTTATCAATTGCACCTATCAATGAGTTATTAACAAAAATTGGTTAGAAAATCCAAATATTTTGATCAGTATTACAGGCATCAATAACGAAGAGACAGATCTTTATTGGTATTTTCAGTGGTTCTCATCTTTATCTACCAAAAATTTCCTTTACCCTTGAAATTTGAAGTAAAAAATATTCAAGTTTTTAATAACCAGCATTACACGCCATTTTACCGGGGGCATATTTTTTTTTTGAAAATTACATATATCACAGACGGAGGACCAGAGATACTATTAACAGCCCAATTTTTTTTTGATAAAGTTATAATAATTGTAAAATTCCAGTGAATAACGAATAGACAGGCTTTTGAATATTTATATCTTAAAAGTTATGCATTTAATCAAAAAATTTCAGAAGGGCTTTATTGTTGAGAAAGGATGGTTAGTTATGCAAAAAAAAAAATTGATCGAAAAAAGTAAATATTATTGGTACTTTTTAAATAAACAATAAAAAAATGGTTGTAGTTCCGTGAGTTCCCCTCTGAAAAATATGAAAAAAATATATCTTGTGGGAAATATTATTAAGAACGTTGCGTCAAATTTTTGTTTAATGACATTAACTGGCTCGTAAAATATTAATTTTTTAATGAAGTCATGTGACGTCGCCGCCGCTCAGTGCACCGCCCAATTTGAGCGCTCCATTCTCTCCCAAAATCCATTTTTCTTCAAAAAAAAAAAANTTTTTCTAGGGCGGGGAGGGGAGGTTTACATGTGTTCTCTGAACTCTTACCTGCCGTCAGAGTTGAGTTCCGTATTTTTATTGTTGATCATTATTTATTTATTTCTGGGGAGGGGAGGAGGGGTTTGCATGTGTTTTCTGAACTCTTACCTGCCGCCAGAGTTAAGAGTCCAGTTTTTTNGTGTTCATGATTATTCATTTTTTTTATAACGAAAAAAAACATACTTCAACGCGACTTCATAAAACAATTAATATTCCAACCATCAGTGCATTTCATTTAAAAAAAATTTTCACACAGCTTTCTCAACAATATTTCCCACGACATATATTTTTTTCAAATTTTTCAGGGTGGAACTCACACAACTACAACGGTTTTCTAATTGTTTATTTAAAAAATTGCAATGATATTTACGTTTTCCGAGCAATAATTTTTTTAAAATAACTAACCATCCTTTTTGAACATTGAAGTCCGTTTGAGTTTTCCACATAAAATGCGTAGTTATTAAAATATACATGTTCAAATTTTGCGGATTCTTTACTCATTTACATGAAATTTCCACGTACGAATCAATTTTTTTACTATTCAATGAAATTGTAATTTTCATGTACGTACAACATTGAAAATTAGAGAAAATTGTGAAAATTCAGACAATTATTTTTGTGAATTTGAATCTATTCAATATTCAATCAAATAGAATGTCCAATGTTCACAATCAGATTGAAAATTCAAGTTGTGCTTAATCTAAAATAGTGGAATTCACATTCAGAACATTAAAAATTCAAATGTATTGGTTCGTTAAATTTCAAGACAAAATTTCTGGTAAAGGGAAATTTCGAAGTCTCTCGTAAACTCACAAATATCTCGTAAAGAACTGAGGATGTGATGAAACTATCTCTTCGCTATTGAGTTAATTGGGTAATTCCAAATTATTTTTACCTTGTTAGCCATTCCAACTTTCTTTGACTTTTTCAAATTCTCATTAATTGCAGCATCCACTGTACTTTTAGCTGACTTAAACTCTTCCTTAGGCTTTGCCCACTCTTTCAATTTCATCGCAATTTCATCTTCACTAATTTCTAGGCATCCATGGTGGCGATGAGCCAAACAGAAATGTTTTTTGCATTCAATACAATTCATCTCAACTGGAGAAGAGCTTTTACATAATTCTTGGGAGCAAATAAAACCCTGGATTTTTCTGGGCTCCAAGACAATATTTTCTGGACATGCTTTGCAGTTATGTGAGATGACATTGAAGTGGTTTTTGCAAAAAATCGAAGAGCAATGGGTGCACTTGAATGGGAGGAAATCATCTTGTTTGCAAGAATCGATGGCACAGTGCGTCCCAACTTCTGGGAATTCCATGTTGTAATTGTATGAAAGGAGAAATTCAATTTAGAAAGGTGGGAAAATAAATTCAGTTGGAATTGATGAATCCACGAGTCGATTAATTGTGAGATGGAGTTGGTGAATGCAAGTGGTTTTCACTGAGGGACCCAAGGGCCAAATTATTCCACTTCTGCTCCAATTCTTTAAGAGTCATGTGCGAGTCACCATTGTCACTTTCTGGATCTGGTAATTCTGATGATGGTACAACAATATCATCAATTGGAAGGCGTTCTTTTCTCCAAGCTTCGTCGATTAATTCCAACAATCTTCCATCACAGCAGACTTGACTGTCCATGTTATCAGAATAACAGCAATCTAAAGTTATTTAGTATTAATTATTCTCTAATAGTACTGCTTTATTCCTATCCGGTTAGTTCTACTTACGGACTCAGTTGGTAGATTTCGAAGGACAAAAGCGGTGATCGTGATTTGCAAATTGTTTATTCCTGTTGAACTGTTAGTGCTATTCCTCTTGTCTTTGTTGATCTACCAGGTTAATACTCGGTTGGAAAAAACTCGGTTTAAATGAACTATGCGCTGGATGAAAACTGCATTACCAGCAATCAGTAGAATAGTTATAATTTCATGTGACGATAAATTACCAGCATTTTCTAGGGATGGGTGATGTTTGTCGATGAAAACATCGATTTTTCATGCCCAAGCATCGATTTTTTTCATTCGATTTTAACGGCCAATTAATTGATTTTTGATTCTTTTTTCCAAATATGGATGTTTTCACCAAGCTAACAAAATTTGTCATTTTTTTTATCGAATAATAATGTTGATTACCAGCAATCAGTAGAATTGTTACGAATTCATGTGACAATTAAGTCCTCACGTACGGCGCCCATATAACGCGGTCCCAACGGCCGGGTAGGGAGACTTACGGCGCGTCAACTCCCTTATTCAATGAACGAAAACTTGAAAATAGTCGAACGAAAAAAAATTGAAATAAAATGCATTGGCTGTATTGCACTTTGAAAAAAACTCCTAGAGAATTTCCTAATTCTTGACACCAATTTCAATGTTGGCCGACAATTGATTTCCGAGATCTTCGAACATGCTAAATTTATTTATAACAAACAAATTATTCAACAAATTGAAATTTAACTTCTACCATTCGATAGAAGGATCATTGAAGTATTTTCAGTAAAAATTTCAAAAATTTTGGGGGAAATTTTGTCGATAAACGAGATGATTTAATATGATTGAATCGGTTGGATGTAAAATTTTCATCTACAACGCTTGTTCATAGAAAAAAATATTATAGATGCATTGAAAAAAATCAAATAAAATGGTTCACTGCAGAGACAATTCCATTGCCTTTCCAAATATCTTTTTCAAATGTCAATACCCTAGCGGACTGACTTCAGAGTTGAACTCTTGAATATTTCCATGATTTCAGATAAAGTTCAGAGTCGGTCAGAGTTGGGGTTATGTCGGATTCTATGTCGGATTCTAGGGGTATCTCTGAACTCTTAATAGTCTTCAGAGTTAAGAGTCCAGTATTTTTATTGTTGAACATTATTTATTTTGTTACGGGGAGGGCAGGGGGGGGG